CATCCATCTTCGGCGAAGATATCCAGTGGAGCGACAAAGTCAAATATCTGGGGATCGTATTTGACAAGTCCCTCACCTGGAAAGCCCACATAGACGCTGTCATCGCAAAGACCAGAGCAGCCATGGCTCAACTCTACCCATTACTGGGTAGACACAGCCGGATGCCGCTAGCGACCAAGCTACGGCTGATCAAGGCCATCGCCAGACCTCAGCTCGCTTACGCCTCCGCGGTCTGGGGGTACACTGCCCCCAGCTACCGCAAGCGACTTGCTGCTCTAGAGATGAAGCTACTCCGGATCGCCACCAGTGCACCATCCTACGTAAGAAACTCAACCTTGCGTAGAGACCTGCATTGGGACACCATCCACGAGTACATGAGGAAAAAAGCGGAGAAGACCTTCGAGAAAGCTCAGGACCACCTGAACGAGCAGCTACGATTCCTCATGGACTACGATCCGGACGAGAGGCCTCGCAACCGCAGAACCAGGTACCCTAGACCAAGGTCCCAGTTGGCACCCGCTAACTGGAACCTTGACTAGGAGACTAGGAGAACCCGCGGTTGCTCCCCCCCCCCCACGGCGTGGATGCAGAGGGCCAGGAACCACCGGGACCAGGACCCACCGGGACCAGGACCCACCGGGACCAGGACCCACCAGGACCAGGACCCTTCAGGGCCAGGACCAGGAACAACATATCGGTAAGAGGACTTGAAACTCTTGATTTTTCGAAAACAAGAGTTTCAAGAGAACCTAGCAGACCCTCTATCGATGATCGCTTAACGACATCGATAGAATGTGCGAGGTAAAGGGAACCAGCCCGGCGTTCCCAGAGACTGAAACACATGAGGAGACGTTGTAGCAGACCGCAGGTCACGCACAACACATGGCCTACCGAGTCGGGCCACGCGGAGGTTTAGGGTTTAGTGGATATTAGGTGGTCTCCTCAAGACAACCTGGAGTCCCACACACGCCGTAGTTCGGGCTATGGTATGGTGCGTAAACGCATTCCCCCCTCACCAAAAAATAAAAAAAAGCTTTTCTGGTAGGCCATAGGATGCAAGTTTGCTAAAGAGGGCAGCGTGCCACAGCTGATCGAACGCTTTCGTGATGTCAAGAGCAACAACATGAGCCTCACTATAAGACTTGATGACTTTACTCTCCACAATTGCGTGATGTAAGCTAGGAGGACCAAGCCACTTTTGGAGAGCAGGATTCATAACATTTACTATTAACACAACTGGGTTCTAGAGAATGTATAAATTATGAGGCAGCATCGCATTCAACATCGATTTGTAGAGAGACAAATCGGCTAGTCTAACGAATAGCAACTTATCTGGGCCATTTTATGAAGAATATTGTGTGGGGAAACTTATTATACTCTCTGAAACAATCTACCATAACTGTTTGATGAGATATTAGACAACATGTTCCTAGCATAATAGTTACAAAACAATACGATTCCAGTGTGACTAGGCACCTCCTTGACATTTTGGAATCTTAACAGTAGGGAATAACGTGATAAAACTACATTTATATGGTTTATAAACTGCAATTATAGCAAACATTTTAGTAATAAATACACGATGAACTTTTTATATTTTTTCTAAGTTATAATTCTTAATTGAGTGATTGACGATGTCAAATTATTTATGTTTTGGTAATGCTTGCAGTAAGAAGAACCAATGAGGTTGGTTTCAGTTACTTTTGTGGCCCCGTAATATCAGTAAACGACGCCAGGGGGGGAGGCACCTCCCCTGAGATTCCAGCTGGAACTTTAAATGTGCATATTTAGCAAGATCTTACGAATTTGAGGATCCTTAGGATTTGCCCACCCATGAGAAAATTTTCTACCCCATACTCTTCAAGTTTTACTAGTTTTGGGGCATGTAAACTTTCACAGACAATTATCTGGTAACCCCCTGAAAAAAGTTCCTGCGGCGCCCATTATTTCAGAATCAAGCACTTTTCATAAAACATAAACTTGAAAATTAAGGTTTTCTCCTTTTTGGCTAGATGAAATAACCTCTGCAAAATTAAACATAAATGTGACTACATTTTGAATGTCTCTTCAAACTACAAGTTTTTTGTAAGTCGCTAATACCAATACTTCATCGTTCCTTGAAAAAGTAATTTTTCAATAGGAACCTGCCCAGAAGATTTTTTTTGTATTTTCAGTTGAGGCGCCGTTTCATTACTCCTGGAATACGATTCAAATTACATAATTTTACGAGGCTTGATTTAATTTGACCTGTTTGATGGTACGTTAGAATGTTAGTCTACAGAGAAATCCATAAAGGGTTGTCCAATAGGGACGCAGGAAAGTAAACGTCGATTTGACATAGACGCCATCTTTGTTTTCTGTCACCGACAGGTCATTTTGTTAGTTGAATGTTTACCATTGATCGCTATAGAGTCGTATTCGATTGAAAACCGCATTAAAGTTATTCAAGAGCACTACAAAAATGGTGCAAAAATAAAAAACACGTTTCGCGCGCTTCGTGAACATTTCGGTCGCAACAACCGCCCAAACGAAACAACCATCGGTCGTCTGGTACGTAAATTCGAAGCAACAGATTCTGTGGCAAATCTGCCAGGCTCTGGCCGGCCAAGGAGCGTTCGCACACCGGAAAATATTGCTGTTGTGAAGGAGAGTGTGAGAAACGATCCGAAACAATCAACAACGCGTCGATCCCAAGAATTGGGCATTTTGAGAACCAGTTTGCTCCTCATTCTCCACAAGGATTTGAATGTACACGCCTACAAGATCCAATTGACGCAAGAGCTGCGTCGGGCCGACCATTTTTCGCGCCGAACGTTCTCAGATTGGCTCCTTGAAAACCGCCAAATTGATGTCAATTTTTCATCAAAAATCATGTTCAGCGACGAAGCGCATTTCACTTTGAATGAGACGGTAAACAAGCAAAACTGCCGCATCTGGGCGAACGAAAATCCCCGTGAGTATCAAGAGCAGCCGATGGATCCTCAAAAAGTGACTGTGTGGTGTGCATTGTGGTCAAAAGGCATCATCGGACCTTACTTTTTCGAAAATGCGGCCGGGGACGCCGTTACCGTCAATTCTGAGCGATATCACGTGATGATAGAGGACTATTTTTTGCCGCAACTTGAAGGAATGGATATGGACGATGTTTATTTCCAACAAGACGGTGCAACATACCACACAACCAACGTCAATATCCATCGATTGCAGTCCTTCTTCGGTGAATGTGCCACGGCCACCAAGATCGTGCGATTTGACTCCCTTGGACTTCTTTTTATGGGGATATTTGAAAAGCAAAGTCTACGTCAACAAACCAGCCACCCTCCAAGAACTCAAAAACAACATCATTGCCGAGATAAATGCCATAGAACCGACCATGTTGCAAAATGTCATTGAAAATTTCGACCATCGCGTGGACGTCTGTAAATCCAGTCGTGGTGAACATTTGAGCGATATTATTTTTCATACATAAATGGTATAAATGAACCTTCAAAATAAAGTACCCAACTTGATTTGAATATCAATCTTTCTTGTTTTAATATGCGTTTACTTTCCTGCGTCCGTTTTGGACAACCCCATATAATGTATACAAGAAAGATGCGCGAGAAGCCTGCAATACGTTGGAAAGAGATAGAAGCACCACGTTGCCTAGCAACACGAGTGGCGAGGCCACGGACGCAGGCTGCGGCTTGCCGCATGGCCATCAGCGCACTCTTTCTATAATACGTATTGCTTCTCGCGCTCCTATTTCGTATATTTGGATTTCTCTGTATGTATATTAATTAGTATGAGTGGGACAAATCTTGCAATTGCATTTTGAATCAGTTAACCTTAACCGATTGAGCCGAAATTATATACACACGTTCAGTTTGCATGACATTACAAAATGAATTAGCTGCCGCTCCTTGGCGGTTGCTACAAAATGGCGATTCACCATTTCCATTGGAATCACTACGATATGGGTATCAAATGAAAGGTCTTGATAAGAGAAACACAATATCAAAGCTCTGTCGCAAAATAGCAATTTGCATTTTCCATAGTCACCCCTTCGACATAAGTACCAAACTAAATGCTCGATGAGAGAAATACAATAAGTTAAGTGACGTCATTCTTTTACCAATATAGCGTCCGCAGTAAAACGACGATTTACATATTTAATCGCCACCCCTATGGTATGGGTGTCAAATGAAAGGGCTTTATGTGAGAAACACACTAAGCATAATGGCGTCATTTTAAATCCAATATGACGGACGTCGCAAAATGACGATTTATATTTTTCACAGTCATCTCTATGAGTATCAAATAAAAATGGTTCTAAGAAAGAATCACAATAAGGAAAGTGTGACGTCATTCCAAATTTGATATGGCGACCGCCCCAAGATGGAGTTTATAACTATCATAGTCACCCCAATCATCTCAAAATGCTTTATGAGCGAATCATAATGATCAACACGATGCAATTTCCAAAATCACCCATATACTGTATCAAATGAAAATGGTTGATGAGGGACCATAATAAGCAAAGTGACGTCATTCTAGATCCAATATAGCGGCCGTCGCTGAATGGCGATTTATAATTTCTATGGTCACCGCTATGATAGGTTAATGAGAGAAACAGGATAAGCAAATCATCATTTTAAATTCCACATGCCGATCGCCGCAAATTATCGACTTGCCATTATATGATTATGTCTATATAAATTTGATAATACATATAAAGTTTTGTGGTGTCCTACTAATAAAAAATATTATATGAAAGGTATATAGAACTCACCAAACTAGTTATTTGACATCATAAATAGTAAATAATAGGAAAAACCAAACATTTATATTTAAACGATTATGAACCTCCTTCACATCAAGCTTTCAAATAAAAGCGTGTTACGTTCTGACAGCAAGTTGGAAAAAGTTTATTAGTTTTTTCTGAATACTTGATATCGTCTAATGGTATACTTCTCCTAGTGCGTGGCGCTTTACTTATTAAATTAAAAATAAAATCCTACCTTTCAAATATAGATCTGTCCGATTCTCCCATATATTTGATCCCATGAATGCCAGTGTAGTCGCTGAAGGTATGAAAATAGTTCTTCAAATTCCTCCTAAAGACAGACTGCCTTTTCTTCTTTTTGTACTCGAACAAATCTCCTTCAATCGCCTTGGCTTTCGCAGCCGCTGCCTCACTATCCGCCATTTTGTCTTCTTCAGAGACTTTTGTCATGTTGCTACTACGGTCTGTGGATTTTGTTTATATACAACACCACTCTATCAGAAACTATGTTAATTTTAGATTCATATTGATGTTTATTAATAGATTTTTTTATGTTTCGTAGGAAGATACTATAATTAAAAGTTAGCATTTTTTCTAAATATTATCGGGTACCGCATTTATAACTTGAATTTTACGGTGATGAATAGGCTGTCATTTTTCAAGCAAAACGCCTTTCACGTTGGATTTTATGATAAAAAAATTGCGTCAAGTGTCATCTGGAAACCTTATCCCTTTCAACATCTGCGTGGCATCTTTGAAGCGAGCTGTAGATCATTCTTGGCATTATCCGTGTGTATGTTTTTGCGCTGCAGTACGGATAGTCATTCAAACCGGTTCGCCTGGCGGTGAGCTTAGATAATGGGAGTACGCGGATCATTCTGTTTTAAAGACAAAAAATACGGGGAAATCTATGATGTGTGAAGGATGTGTGATACAGTGGATTCTCGATTTAGTGAACTCCGCTTCGGGTAAACTACCCCGTAGAGTGAACACCCAAATCTTATCATTGCTTTGCGATTCAGTGAACAGCGGTAAACCCGGTATAGTAAACTGCGACGCACGTCTTATAATACGTATGATGGATCTCTTAAAAAATATTAATACAAATGTAGGTTAAGTTGAAAAAATATTTTATGCATGTGTTATTATGATTCTGAATTCTGTGTACATATTGCCAGTAGTATTGAAAACAAACGACATTAGCGAATGGAATGAAGATGAACCAGTAAACATTTAGAGAACGACATAAGACTTGAATCCGATCAGGAAGAGGATGATCACGTTACAAGTAATATGTCAAACATAGAAGACAAACCTATTTCAACAAACCAAGCTTTGCAATCTATTAACGACATTATCCAATGGTTTGAGGAACACTGGTATGCAGTAGAATACAGCAGATTGCTTGTATTGCATGATCTGAGACAAAAAATAGTAGAACTAGAACTAGAAAGTTTAAACAGCCCAAAATAACGTCACTTTTCGCACAAGGTCCGTAAAAATATTATGTTCTAAATGTTGTCTTCATATTTTTGTATAAACCCATATTTAGTATTTGGTTCATTTGAATACAATGGCGCTATCAAATTTTGCAGAATATATTATACTATTTCTTTGAATATGTGTCTTTAATATTACACCTCGCAAAAGTGAACACCCCCGATATAGTAAAATAGCTTTGCCAGAATAAGTTCACTAAATCGTGACTCCACTGTACTTGCATAGAATTACCGGGCTAGGGAGCGCATAAATACTTTATTTTTTTCATTTTTTTCTTTGCTGCCATTGGATCGGTTTTCAATAACTATGTAGCTTTTTCGTCCTTGGCATAGTGGAAACCTTGTGTGAAAATTTCAACAAAATCCGAGAAGTAGAGACCCACGCAAATTAGTGACATGGCTTTCCGTGATGTAACATACATGTCATGTATCATCACAAAAACAAAAAAATCTCAAAATTATCGAAATTTCATGCGATTATAATACTTCCTCGCCTAGTGGCGAAGGGAGTAAAAAGTAGGTTTATACCAACAAACCAAGCTCGACAGAAGCAGTTGAAGAGCAATATTTGGGTTCCAGAGGCAGGCATTTACATATTATTTTTTCAAAAAATATTAAAAAAGTAGGCCATTTCATTTTTAAGTTATTCGGAGACAGAGATTATCTGCTTGCTACATATTGGCTGCCCTGTATTATAATGAGTGCTTTAGTGTTATTGGAACAAACAAATCGTTAGAATAGCTATAATTATTGTAATACTAATAGCTAAGAATCTAAAACGTTTTTTTTGTTATTTTCTTCTAATATTATCTCGGCTTTTACTCTCTGCCACCTTACCTGATATGACGAGGCAACGTGGACAGCTGCTTTCACAATGGATTATTTTGGACTGACGTGACCAGGGTATTTTTTAATATACCGTTTGCTTTCCAGCAATTTCCATACTCACCCCCTTCCACCCTTTCCGAATCATCACGAATGTTTACAGGAATGTTATTACATATTCCCACGCCTCATCCAATGGGAATTGTAGATACATTTTTTCCATTACGATAAAAAAGCCAATTACTTGGAAACTATCTGGATGTGTGACCGTGTACAGCTGTTTCGTGCATGTTGGCAATCATCAAAGCAACGTATATGAGATTTGCCATATAAAATATATTGGCGATCGGGTATGTAGCTCTTGAGCACAAGGTTAATAAGCTCTGATTTGTGCAACACGGATGCAGAGCACCGATATTCCAGTAACATTTTGCAAGACCCCGAAAGATTTCACAATTCGTTTTGTTTTTAGTACCACCTCCAAACCAATTGCAAAATAATGAAAATTTCTATATTATTTTTGTGTTTCTGTTACCTTTGAACGATATTACCACAACTTATTTAAAAAAAAACTATCACAGGTGCCAGTATTTGTATCACGGACTAACCGCCCACCTCATATATGTCAGTCCGTGTCATTTTTAGGCCAGTCCGCTTTCGCTTAAATATAGAATCTTCCTGTTGGTATCATTTCGAAGAAATACAATACATTTCACAGAACTTAAGTTTTTCCCTTCTCGTCAGAGAATAATGTGAATGTGTCAATTTTTCGAGAGTGCATTTTTGTCTGTCTGTGACTTTCACAAAAATTTTATAATAAGAATCCAATTGTACTAATTCGTGATTCCTCAAATTCAGATAAAGAAATGAGTTAAATTCATTTCAGATAAAGTTATTGCTGTATCTCTTTTCATTTGTAATCAGTATGATAGAAAATGTCAAATGATAAATCTCGTCAAGTTGTTAGTCCGTGACGTGTGGAATTGCTCTTCAGCATTCGTTTAACATTAAACAAGTCACGATGGTTGATACTAGAATCAATCCGCATTCATGCACTAAAATGCATCTGGGTATTGAAAACGGAACATATTACGATGAAGCGACATCATCATGACATTCAGCAAAAAAGGTGAGCTCACTCATTTGTTGGTGTTTCTAATTAATTATCGTTATCATTCCTACTGATAAAAAACAGGTTCTGAGCATGCAATCGTCGTCCATTGAAATAAGCTTAAAGCTCATGGGAGGTGTTAAGGGGAGTTGGCTTTTGTTCCCGATGTGTTCCTATACTTACGCTAAATTAATTACGATAAAAATTGGGTCGAATGAGGATAACGAGACATCGTTTCTGTCAGAATAGACTGGGAGCTATCTTCTTGCTTACTCTGAAAAAAATCCTAAACAGGTACCAACCTTTTAACTTCCTAACCATGGACAACTGTTTTGTGCTATTTGGCAACTCCTCAGAATGGTGTCATTGACCAGCCTGAACCCGCAGTTCCGCGCTCGTGGAAATAATGTGAAGTATAGGGGATACGTCTTGCATTAGTTTGAACGAAATTAGTTTTGGAGAAAGATTATTATTTTAACGCAATTCCTACAAATCCCTACTTATCCATACTAATGTATAAATGTGAATGTGTATGTTTATATGTATGTTTGTATATAGTGTGTCCCAGATTCGCTTCTCAACACGGGAATTTCGGCTCCTCTTATACCTACAGCAAAGATTAAAAGGGGAAAGTTTCAGAAAAAACTTTCGATAGCCGGCTTCAGATTGACAATCGGTCAATTGGTTTTGAAAAAATTGGCGAGAAACCGAAAATGGCGGAATTTGTTTTTTGCCAGTCAATCTAAAACGGTTAATTTGACAGCTGTCAAAATGTTACATTATTCGGACATTTTTTTAAGAAAAATAAGATAGCATATATGACATGTCTCAATCGTCTTTTGTTGTCCAGTAACCCGCCTCAACCTTAATTTCTCTCATCACCGCCATACTGCATTTTTGAATTTTGAAAAGAGTATAAAATTTCCAGTCTAGCGATGTCTCACAAAAGCATAAAAGATTGGAGTATGTATTACCGAAATATCATCACACCTAAATTTTATGTATTAGTTTTTTTCTAAGGAGGCCATGATTTATTATATATAAAATAACATGAATAACATTAATCAGTAAGGCATAAAAAAACACATAAACGCCTTAAATTTTCAATAGAATATCAACGTTAATATCGATTTCTCAACAAGTCAAATGTTTTGGGCAGATTCCCAACTCTGAGTGTGTTAAAGTAACAAGTCAGAAAAATCGTCGTAAATTCATTTTACACTTGAACAGACAAACATTTTACAAAAATGTAATGTAATGTTAAATCTAATTATGTAAGTGGGTAATTTACAGATTTGCAAAATAACGTCCATTTGTAACCAGACATTTTTGACAATTGGTGACTGTTTTTCGTACAACCTTAGATAGTGTATTTCTGTTCATGTTTCTAACTGTGCTCAAATTTCTTTAGGATTTCTTTGGTCGCGGAGGATCAAATTCATAGACCTTATTCTTTGTGTGACCTCAGAGGTAGAAATCCAAGGGTGAAAGGCCAGGCGATCTAGGAGGTAAGATACTGAACGATTTAATGAAATTATTCTTTCAAACATCTATTTTAAGAAGTTCCTGACTTGAATGGTGTTGTGAGCCGGATATCCATCCTGTTGAAACCAGGCTTTTCTAATCTCATCTTCGGTTAGACTAGCTCGTAAAGCCGGCACAACCTGGTTTGGCAAAAGCTCTGTCCTTTTAGGTTGTAGTCAAACAATAATGGTCCTATAGGTCGAATTCCTGAAATGATTATTACCTAATTAAAAATTACCCAATGATGAGTGTTGTGCTTGTTAAAAACTCCACAATTCGTAAATGTACTCTCATCGGACCACCAGACATGATATACAAAATCGAGATTTCATTAGGCTTCCTACTATATCACTCGCAGAAGCGCATTCGCATTGGAAAATCAGTTTGCTTGAGTACTTGAACTATTGTAGGTTTACCCAATGATGAGTGTTGTGCTTGTTAAAAACTCCACAATTCGTAAATCTACTCTCATCGGACCACGAGACATGATATACAAAATCGAGGTTTCATTAGGCTTCCTAGTATATCACTCACAGAAGCGCATTCGCATTGGAAAATCAGTTTCCTTGAGTCCTTGAACTATTGTAGGTTTGTATGGATGGTACTTATTCTTATTTAACACTCTCTGTACTGTTGATTTTGACACACCAATTTCTCGTTCTATAGTTCTTACTGGTGCACTAGGGATTTCGTTGACAGCTTGTAAAATGTTTCTGTCCCGATTTTCGTTTTCAATATTGTATACTCTTCTAGGTTGCTCGAAGGCCCCATGGTTTATTAAATTAACTACAATTTTTCTAAATTGGGTTTTATGAGGCTGCCGTCGTTCGGGGTGCATCTCCAAGTACCTTGCTCAGGTAATGTGGGCGTTTCTGTGTGACTGCAAGTACAGCGCTAACATGTCAAACTTTTCTTCATTTGAGTAGCGAATACCGGCCATTTTCAACAGGTTTTCACAATTTTTTTGTCAGATTCAAGATTTTAATTAGACGAAACGTACCTACTACTTATTAAAACACAATTTTAATACTTTGAATTATTTAACGTCAAAGTCAGAGATACGGAGACATGACTAGGCTGGAAATTTGACGCACTTTTCAAAAATAGTGGCCATAAGGAAAATGAAAGTTGAGGCAGGTTGCGGGAAAACAAAAGACGATGGAGACATGTCATACACGCTATCTTATTTACCTTAAAAAAATGTCCGGATAATGTCACATGTTGACAGCTGTCAAATTAACCGTTTATGATTTATTGGCAAAAAACAAAATTCGTCATTTTCGGTTTTTCGCCGATATTTTCAAAACCAACTGACCGATCGTAAATCTGAATCCGGCTATCGAATGCTCTAAGCTTCCTCTATGCATGTATGTACATATGTTTGTATATATGTTTGTATGTATCGTTTTGACGCCAAAACGGCGACAATTTACTAATGCAATAATAGCAATACTCAAAAATAATGTTACAAACA